ACGGACAGCTGGGCCTTCTTCGCGTCGCGCTGATCCCAGATGGTGCAGCTAACTGGAAAAAGTAAATAAAATATTCATGTCCTCGGATAGCTACAACTTGAACTTGGCACTCACTGCGGTCAAGGCTGCTGTGGGGATTCAAAATGGTTGTTGGCGTTATGTCCAGCTCGCCAGGATCCTCATCGCTACACGCCGCATGCTTAAAGCCGCCGTCTGAGTGGTCCAGGTCGGAGGTGTAACTGCAATCTTCACTGTTGGTGGTCACACCCAGCCAGTCTGTGGCCGAGGTGGTGCACTCCTGATTGCAGGTCGAAGCCGGGCTAGAAATGATGTCCGCTTCGTCGCACTCGTCTGACTCGGCACAACTGGTGGTGGACTCATTGCCTCGCGACTGTGCCAGCTTTTCCGCTGGAGGAGCGCTATTATTGTTGGAGCTGTTGTTCGCGGTGTTTAAGCGCAGGCGGAGTTGGCTGCTTTGGACAGGAACTGGTGGAGCCACCGCACTGGCTGCCACATTGGGCAAGGGCGAGTGGTTGTTGTCCTCGCCACTGGAACTTTTTCCGTTTAAGCTCTCGAAGCCATCGTCCTCGCCAATGTTGCGACGCGTCTGATAGGAGGGCTTGAGAGCCCGAATTTGCTCATCGACAATGGCCTCAATCTGGTCTTCTTCCCTGCCAGACTGGCTCGAGGACGGCTGATCGGATCGCTCGTAGGTGGCGTATATCTGGATAGGAGTATGCCAGTTGACGTTCCGCTTTTTGGGGCTTTCGGGAGTCGCGGCGGAGGCAGCGGCGGCGTTGGGTCCAACCGTCTGCCTACTGAGATCAAAGCCCTTCGGTTCCCCGTCTGCGGATGGTGTAGCCTGCGGCCGATGGTGTGAGCTGATGGCGGTGGTGGTGATATAGGTTTCCTCGCTGCTGTTCCGCTTGACGACGACGGGACGCGGCGGGGTGGCTGCCAAGATGGGGTCTGGTTGGACAACGCAACTCGCAATTGTTGTTGGCGTCTGAATGACCGGTCTGGAAAGCACCTCAAGACCACTACTGCTTGCGTTACGTCTGGCTGGTATTGAGATGTTGCTGCTGTTGGGCTCGGCATCCGGCTGCCGAGTTCTGTGAGTGGGTTAATGTAAGGAAAAATTTCCATTAATTATATTCCAACCGAACTCACCGACTCACAAACTTCTTGCGCCGCCTTAACCGATGCTCCCGTACCGTGGCTTTGTCACCAATGCTACTGGTCATGGAAAATCGTCGGAGCTTGTTCTTTCCGCCGGTTCCGCCAGTCGCCGTGTTGGTGGCCACAATTTGCGAGTGGATCAGGCTGATCAGCAGACTTAGAGCGCAGGGGATGAGCAGGGCGCTCAAAAGGTCGGCATGCTCCTCCTGTTTGTCGGCATCATCGCCCGCTGTTCCGGCCTGGAGGAGAGTGCCATTCAAGGGCTTGTCGTAGAGCAGCGGTTCAGTGGGGCTGTTGCTGTGCAGGACGTAGATGGCCCAGTTGACCAGCTGGGTGAGGTAGAGGACCAGGATGAAGCCAAAGGCGTTGGGCGAGGTCTGTTTGACCCACCATTGGGCGTAAAGGGGCAGCAGCACATACCGTAGAATGGCCAGGCGGATCACGGTAAGCAGCGATTGCTTGGGCTTGGCCTTGGGAAAGGTGGAACCTGTAATTATGCATTGAGTAATCAAGTTTTTTGTTGAATCGACTCATGGACCTACCGCGCACCAAGTCAACATCGATCAGCTCCGTTTTCAGCTTTGTGTTCTTCAAATTGACATTATTGAAGCCATCCAAGATCCTCTGCTCAACGGTCTTCTCCCATTCTTGCTTGTCATAGGTGCCGATTTTCTTTTGGTACCTGGTACGCAGCCGGGAATTAGATAATTCCGATAACAATAAAATAAAAGTGCCTTCTTACCATGCAACAATTTCATCCAATTTCATAGTAATAATCACATAAAAGTCGAATCGCCGTGCAGCACCCTGCGAACGAACAAAGAGAACATCAATTAGGTTCTTTATACAGCTGGGTGCGCGCAATCGCTTCTAATTTACAATGGTCTGTGTTTTGGGCGTGATAATAGCGCTGGCGTCGGCGGTTACCCGGATATAACTGGGAAATCACACCCGTCCGAGGCCTTCTTAAGTACCCGCCGGGTGTATTCCAAAAGCTGCGCCGGGGCATTTGGTGCCCCACTTGCTACTGGGAATACTGCTGGCAAACAGCTGCTCTGCATAACGGGTTTTTTCCAGTTTATCGGATACCAGCTGACGGTCGACTTTCACCTTCGCCTTGCTGCACCCCACCTCCGCCACGACCAGCGATAGGCATCGATAAGAGATTGCCAGGCGAAGAATGTCAGGTGGTTCATTGCCTGCCCGCGCCGCACTTTCAAATCTTGCGAATTGTTTGGATTGCAGCAAACATAACAGAACAAGACGGAAACCGAACAGCTGTTCCACGGGCGGCACTGATGTTTGTACACACACAAGCGGAAACAGGGCACAGGTATACACACACACAAGCACAGTGATTGATCGGGTGCGGGGCGCTCAAGGGTTCAAGGTGAACCAAAATCAGCAGAGAGGGCTGTTTTCATTCATCTATACGGCGCGCGGTTGATTTACCTTGAATCAAAACGCAACCGCTATCGATTTTCATACGCACTGGGCGCTAGAGCTACTTCTGTTATCACTCGTGGCTCCTGGTCACATCAACGTCTCAATAATGGTTTCACTTAAATTTTGGATGCACTACAGACGCTGCTGGAGCGTTTTGCACTTGCATTTGGGGCCGAAAAGATGTGGTGCGCAGCGGAACGTTTGCTTGTTTCCCTATCAAAAAGTGGTTAGTGTGGGTGCCAGCGTTGCCAGTTTAGCAATTTCCCCGCTAGGTCTGGCGGTTTTCAAAAGCACAAGGCACATAGCTATTTTCCAACAAAATTTGCCTTATTTTAGCTTCTTAAAAAATCGAATTTTTAAGCTCTTGTTTAATTAAATTATGTTTACCAGAGCTTGCAAATAACTGTCGACGGGGTTTTTCCTGTGCTCTCGTTGCGAGTAAAACCGAAAAAGATCATACTCTCTCCCTCTCGCTCAGAGCAAGGGAGTTTTGCTGTCTTGATTTCGGTTTTTTGTTGAACGCTTTTCGTTGAACTCTTTTTACTTCGGCCTTTCAATGAGCCGTGCGTAAAGAGCGGGACGAGAAACGTTCGCACACAGAGAGCCAGCCAAAGACCAAGGGACCGAACAGCTCAGCGCGAACGGTCTTCACCTTTGTTTGTTTTTTTTTTTTTTATTTATTTATTTTTGTGAACAAGTGTCCATATAACAAAATGCTATTAAAAATAAAAGAAAAGTTTTAGACAATGTTGTTTTTAAATCGCAACTAAACGTTTAAGGATTTGCTTGCCTATGCGTGTGAATGTATTCCAATACATACGCAAAAGACTTTTGTTCACTGACCACGGTTCATGGGACAACCGAAACAAAGCAGAATAGAAAAAAACGAGTTCGCTCTGAACGCGCGCGAGCTCATTCCAAGAACTCATGAACGGGTGCTCTCTGAGTCTTTTCGTAAAGAGTGAGAGAGAGACAGATATATGCAGACAACTAGAAACGGTCGACAGTTTTTTGCAAGCTCTGATGTTTACCCATTAAACATGTACCCAATTTTGACTGCGTCACAAAAATTCAAAATAAAATTTATTGAAATTTGGTTAGTTATTCAAAATTTGTTCTTCAAAATGTATTTTCAAAATGTGTTCCCCAATAATAGACCCAAAGGTCTAATCCCCTCAAACCCAGTGAAAATCAGTAGTAAATTTCCTATGGCAGCTGTAAGATATAGGCGGCCGATCCGGCCCGTTCCGACATAATTTTGAAAGAACACTTACATGCACATCCTCGTCGCCAATGTCTCCTGGTACTATTGGTGGCTTGGGTTGTTCCTCCTGCTCTTGCTCCTCCATTTCCGCGTCTTCTTCTTGGATCACGGCGTTGAAGAGCTCTTCTTCCGTTAGATGCTCCATGCTCCTGTTTCCTAAATAAAACGTGGTTGTACGGGGATCGTTCGCTTAAGCTTTTTTCGAGGAAGCACCGCATCCAAGATGGCGTGTTTGGATACGGCGCGTCAGAAAGGGCGCAGTAAATCTGACGACGAAAACTCACCTCTTCGACGAGATCGGCAAACAACTTGGGCCGGGTTTTCCAAAGATCCTTTTATGTCGCAGCCCGATTTCTGGAGATTGGCAAAAGTTTACGTCTTCACTCTTCTGACACTCTTCTTCAAGGCAGTGTTGTGAAGGGCAAATTCGGGTTTTCCCCTAAAAAATCTAGGTAACCGATGATTCGCCGGAAACTCGCGATTTCGACCCATATCGGTATAATTCGCGATCAGCCATAGATAGCTGAGTTTTCGAAAATGCGCGCTGCAAAAACCGCCGCTCGGCGAGGCTGCCACCTTGCCGCCAGAAACGGCTCTAAAACTGTTTGTTTTTGCCAGCACTGCTCCGTGTCCCGCCAGAAAGTGCTTGCTGCTGTTGGCGCTCTGTCAGAGATCTGGCAACGTAGGAAAGCCAAATTTGCATCTGGCAACACTGCACCTCGGCCGACCAACGTTGCCAGAGTGTCTGTGAACGACCGTCCAAAAGTACCAGACTTTTCGTTGATAAGGTAATTTTACATACATTTGACATTCTACATTTTACTTTTACGCTTAATTTTACTAAATATTAAATTTATAAATACTAATTATAAATACAAACTAAATAATAATAAAAAATGCAATTCAATTCAAATTAAAGAAAATTAAAGTTGATTTTTAAAAATTAAATTTACACACAATTGATTAATAAAATCTTTTTTATATTAGTACTCAATAATTCTGCGTCTGGGTGACCAGAGGTTTTAGTATCGGGTGTGGTTTGAATATCGGATGTGGATTTTTTAGGAAATGTTCATCATTTCTTTTTGAGATTTTTTAGTTTCATCTGGCATGTCCATTCATGTTTCATCTCGTCGAAGGCGGTTGTGTGCGGAGCGGAGTTTTGGTTTTCCGCTGGTTTTTCGTAAAAAACAAAAACAATAACAAATCACCAGTATGTCTCGTTAAAATAAGTAATCCACAAAATTAAAAATCAAGAAAGTTCAAGTGCTCTCAGAAGTGTAAAAAGCTAAATTTATTAAAATAAGAAAGAAGTGGATGAAAAGGAACGGAAAACGAACGAACAGTCGGTTGCGGAGCGGAAAAAAAAACAGCAGTAACAACAACAAAAACGGCGGCGGGGCGATTAAACAAAACGCCGCCAAAACACACACAGCAAAAGAAAAAAATATTGTTATTATTATCTGTGAAATAAAAAGAAGGCAAGTTCCCCTCTTTCTCTCTCCCTCGCTTCAATACCCCCCTCGCGTCTGTGTGTGAGCGCCTATGTGCAGCGGTCTATCTGTGTGTATGTGTGTGCGGGCGCGAGTGCGTTTGTGTGTGGAAATGCATTAATTACACCAATACCAAGGCAGATGCAGCAGCAACGGCTACAACAAAATAGTTAATATAAAAATACACAAAATAAAATACAATAAAAAAAGGAAAAAATACAAACAAAAACATAAAAACAAAGGCAGCCAACAAAAATGATAAAAATTTAATTTTTTTATTGTTTCCAATTGATTTTTGTGATGCTTTTCCTGCCGAATGAAATTCGAAAAGGGATTAGGCAACCAAAAAATCACAACAGCAACATAAACAACCACTACTAAATTTTCCAATAAATCAAAATCGGTAAACTTTTTGGACTCGGGTCGGTTTTAAATCGGTTTTTTCGAACCACAGAACTTGGAACGCGACGCGTCGTTTATCTGGCTTATTTTTTGAAGATTTTCGAAAAAGAAAAGCCATCGAAAATGCGAAACTTTCGAATACAGTCCAATACGGTTTTTAATTAAATTAAAGAAAGCCAGCGAAGAAAGGATCCGCGACGATCATCGGTCTGGAAAAACATCTTCAAATGGTGTAAGTATTTTTTACAACAGTTAAAAAAAAAAAAACTCCAGAAAATAAGGGAATTTTCCAGAGGCAGGCAGGGAAACTATGAGAAAATTAGATTGATCATTTGATTTCTAGAAAAAGAAAGCTTATGGGAAATATGAAACATTTTTATCAATTTCGTTTTTTTATTTTTATTCAAAGAGCAATTTTCAAGTGTTTATTTTTAACGTTTTTTTCTAAAAGAAGAAATGTCTTTAAAAAATAATTAACTAAATTTGTTGAATTTTGTAAATACATTTAAAATATAATAATATATTAATTTGCTTTATTTAAACCAATTTCTAAAAAAATACCCAAACCCAAATTTTTTAAACTGCTTAATTGCTTAAAAGCTACATTTAATTTGTAACGCATAACATTCTCTAGAAACTACCACGATATTTAAAATCACTATCGCTAACTTTTTTAAAATTAATCAAAACCTAAATGGTTTTTTATTTTGGCATTAAAATATTTTGCCAAGTTGTCAAGATTTATTTCTTTATAAACGATTTTATTGCAAATACTTGTAAAAATGCGAAACCCTATATCTACGTCGTTTTTTAGTAATCGAATGCCTATGCAAATGGATCGATTTTCTTCGATTTTCCAGTTGGTCTTCTTCGAATTGGCACCATCATTAACAGCAGCTTAGACTGGTTCTACTTATTAGGTATAGATTTGGATTCAGGGAAAGATCAGTACTATCAGTTCGGAGTAATAAGCAACGCAATATAAAGTAACACATGTGTTTTCCACATTTCTTTGCAGCTCACAACGCAAATGGTAAGAAAGGAAAGCTGGTAACAATCAACTAAACTGAAAAAATATGTAACATAACAAAAAAATACCATGAAAAAGTGATTAAACCAAAATGTTTAAAATGTGAATAATTTTTTAAAACATAACAATCACATAAAATTACCTAAGATGCCAATAATTTAACAACTAAAGTGTTAATAAATAAATTAAAAAAAAAATGTTTTGTTAACCAAAGAAAAATTGAAAACATTCAAAAACTAGTGTTGACTACAATTTAAATGAAAGGAATCTCAAATCGGACTTAAAAAACGTTTTAGATAAAGATTTTCTGGGATTCAAATTCGTGTTAGCTATGTATAGTGTTTGAACAAAGTTCAACTTATATCTTTCAAAAATCCAACAACTTTTCAAAACAATTATTTTATTACATTTCCCTACAAAAATAAAATTTGTCCTAAATGCAAATCTAACAAAACTCAGTTTAAAAACTTGCTTAAAAATCGTGTAATTTACACGAAGAATTCTTTGCTTGCTGGGAAGAATTCTTCCATTTCTTCTTACTCGTCTTCTGCTAGCGATCGACAGCAATTGGCAGTACTGCGCGTACAAAGAAAATGGCACAAAAAAAAACTGAGAAGAAGCAGACCCGAAAGCAGTGACGCCGACCGCGGCAGCGACGCCTCTGCCGACAGCGGGCAGCAATTAACTCGAAAGCAAAGAATTTCATCAGAAATTCAAACACACACACACAGCCACACGCACACATCCGCAGTCTGGTATACGAATACAACGAAACGGATGACGTGCAACGGGCTGAAAATAACGAACGACAGCGACGCCGACTGAGGCAGCGAAGAGAGACGTTGGAAATTTGTAGCGAAAAATCCAGGCTGACAGCTCCCCCAACGTACGAAAAAGTAACATGGCGACTATATATAAACCCTGAATATACATGGCTCCCGCTGTCCATGTGTGTGTGTGTGAGCTCCACAAACTACAAAAACGAACAACGCAAAATAAACGGCAAGCAGAGCGAAAGAGAACGCGAGCCAGTTGCTGCATGAGTTCGAGCGGGACAACCGATGAGCGACGAAGAGTGGTGGAGAGAAATTGTCGTGTCGCTTTGAAAAATCGATACAGCTGCTGCTGCTCGAGCGAGTGGGACAGAGCGATGCAGTAAAATTGCTTTTTTCTTACTTAACCCGTTTGGTGTGCGTGCGCACATACTGAGAGTGTGTGTGTATGGAGCTTGCTTGGGGAGAGAAAAACTACAAAGTTGGCGCGGCATGTGGTGGCATCCATCCATCTCCCCCTCTCACTCTTTCTGGCTAATGCGGTCGAGTTGGGCTGCTTCTTCTTGCTGCCTATGCATGTATTCGTGTTGGTGTGTGGTCACGTAGCTACAAAAACAAAAATACATACTAAATACATACGAAAACTGGTTTTCTTTTTTCTTGCTGCTGCTGGCAATATTCATGAATTCTAGTTAAAAACGCCTGACTTTAATGGGGTTTTTCGCCCCTAAATAGAAGAAAAACTGAAAAATAAATGCCTTTTAGGGCTTTTCAAGTTATTTGTTACTTCAGATTTTTCAAAATGGCGAACTCAGAGACAAAAACGCAACGCACACGAGAAAATTTCATTTGCAGCGCAAAATTGCAAAGATTATTGCTCAAAAGTTAATCGTATTTCGCTACGGCAGCGACTGGGTGGTGGAAATTGTGCGAATTTCGCCCGTGCCTCCCTCTCTTTTGCAAGTGTCTGTCTTGTTTCCAATTCCCAGCTTTTCAGCTATTCCCGTTTCTTTTTTGCTGTGAGCCGCCACCAGTTCTACAAAGCGACTGAAAATCGCTCAGCTCCGCGGCCCCAACAAAACAGCTCTTCTGGCGCGAGCAGCGCCGCCGGCAGCGGGTGAAACTTTCGCGCGATCGGATGGGGCCACGGCCCCCGTGCGTTAGAGCAGTACCACCAGCCTGTGCGCAGGCACTGTTTGTACAGCAGCACACAGAGAGAAAATGTATGGGTGATTTCCTGCTGCGCCCCCAAAAAAGAAAATACGTAGGAGATTTAGACACGACGAGGCAGAGTAGAAAACAGAGGGGCTACAAAACTACACACGATTTATGGAAGAACGTGCAACAACAAAGCCAAAGTTGCTGCTGCTGCTGCTAGCACCCCATACAAACTACATAACCATTTATAAATATACACACAGCCGCACAGTAGAGATACTCGTTTTCCATGTACCAGCGAAAAAAGTACCAGCTATAAATTCTTTATGTACACTCTGTACATAGCACTCACACTCATACAACGCCCATGTGCCATGTATTTTGTGCGCTGAAGCAGCAACAACGGCTGGCTATCTCGCTCTGACAACCACGTCAGACGGCTGGCTGGCAGGCAGCAGCGCAGCGGCAGTGCAAACGTCAATTATAAGCAAACACACTGGGCAACGTTGCCGATTTTCAGCTCAGGCGCACGGGAGGCGAGCGGCATGGAGTCAGAGCTCAGCGCGGTTGCCGCACTTCAGCTGTTGTGAGTGTTTGTGTGCGTGTGTTGTTCTTGTAGTTTCCATGCTGCTTTAATGCATGGAATTTTAACATGCTGTACCTCCAGTCCAGTCCAGTAGTCCCCTGCCCCATCCCCTCTTTTCCCCTTCCCACTTCTTCCAGGGGGTGGAAAGGCAGCGCGAGCAGCGAGCAGTGGGCAGTGGCAGCGGGCGAGCTGAACGGGGATTATAATAACGTGCTGTCGACGTCGCTGCTCGCATTTTCCACCTTCTCGCATTGTATTTGTTGTTGCTGTTGGCAGCGGGGAGGAAATGGCCCTATACAAGATAAAATATCTTTGTATCTGTATCTGCAGCTTAAATTGGCGAGCCTGAAGATAGATCTCTCAATAAATTTAAATTGAAAAAAATTAAATCTAGTTGAATTAAATGAGAAAACATATTTTTAGTTGCTAAATTAAGGCAAATTGGCATAAGTGACAACAACAAAAAGCACACTCGAATCAAGAGGAGAAATCAAGCAAAAAGTGTAAATAAAAGTGCAAAATCGCAAAAGGAGAAAAAGTAAAGTTATCGTTAAATTGAAATTAATAAAAGAAAATCCCATTGTTCCAATAAAATACCCACAAATAGTGTAAAATGTGAAAATAGTGATAGTGCCAGAAAAAGCTATACAAAATCTTGGCTAAATCGGAAATATCTAAATCAAAAATCTAATTGAAATATAATTTTTCCTTTCCTCATTTTCTTCCCAAAAATCTAGTTCAAGAAGTGAAGCAAATAAAGCAGAAGAAATCTGAAAAATATAGTTTAAAAAAAGTATCTGCTTAAAATATCCAAAACAAAGCCAACTATCCAAAATATATATAATTAAATATATATATAAATATATATAATGTGCGTAATGTTTAATAAAAAGAAGAAGGGGGCCCCACCCTCCTACAGGCGCTAAGTAAAATACGTGGCATTCGATCGCGATCGCGCAATGCTAATCCTAAATCGATGTGGATTCTGTGCTGTGAGTGTTCCGTTGTCGAAACATGGTACGCGACAGTAGCCGTAACATTTGTTTTGGAAAATTAGCCGAAACTACGACGACGACGCCGCACCTCCAACAACACCTTCAACATCAGCAGCAACAACAACAATTCGTTGTGGATAGCAGCAGCAACAATATTAACAATAACAACAATAATAATAACAACAACAATATTAATAACAATAATCAGAAATTGAAAAGGTAAGTTTCGAAAGGGATTTCTTTTGAAAGTACTAAAATTTTAATTTTTTACAAAGGTTTTAGTTTAAATTGTATCTTGCATATCTTATTGAGCCTTTTCCGCTGTTCTATAATAATATATAATATTTTATTCTGCTCTTCTCGTTACTATTCCTTTAAAACAAAAGTATTTAACATTTTCTGGCACAGTCTTTCAAGCTTTTTGGGGTATAATCCAATTCGAGTCGAATTTTTGCACCTGTCGACTAGAACTGTCACGTTTCTTATTGTTTTTCAATCAACATGTTTTTTATAAAAAAATTCTAAAATGTATCTTTAATATTCTTCGTTAAGAAAAATATTTATTTTAATGGTCTTCAAAATATTCAGAATTTATAAGCGAATACCTATTGTAGCTGTTTTTGTTTTTAAAATACCATTTTTCTGAGACCCAAGAAAAGATTGTACTCGCATCTGAACAGTAACTCGCAGCTAAGCCAATCCGATGGATGCGTGTGTGGGTGTCTGCCTAAATGCCTTGGTTATCACGATTGCCCATTTCAGAGTTTTAGTTTTGGAGCTACAAAAAACAATAATAAAAATAACAACAACCTCTGAGATGCGACGAGCGAGAGATATTATTTGAATGTAAATGGTACTAGGTATCTTTTAGATGCCAGCGTAGGCTACTTGTATCTGCTGCTGCTGCTGCTACTGCTGCCCACACGAGGCCGTTCTTATCATCAAGTGTGTGGGGATACGAAGCGTGCTTTTCCAGGCAGTCAGCCTGTCAGAGCAGCGACAATCCCTGAGATACAAAGCCTAATAGCTGCCCAAAAGAAACAAAAAAGAATGCGTAACTCTTTTACCTTGACTTGTCGTCGTGTCTTGGCTTTTCTACTCGCATCCCAAGTATCTTTTACCTGAGTGGATCCCACCTTTCTGCTTTTTTGCCTTTTGCTACGTGTACAAAACAGCAGCAGCGAACGAAAAGAATCAAGAGCCGAGAATAGAGAATAGAAAGAAGCAAGAAGAATCAAGGGAATGAGGCGGCGAGAGATAGTCGGACATGTGGCAATGGCTGCTGTGCCTAGAAGATACTCTCTTCTACCTCTACCTACCTCTTTCTTCCATCTCCCTTTTTATTACGTAATATTTTTTCTTATATTTTGAGCGCCCCAAACGAACCTATCTGAGCAATTTGTTTTGTTCTTATGCCTGTTTCTCTGTGTGTATATTTTTCGGTTTGTGAGTCAAACAAGTTTTTGGTCCCCTTCCTTCCTTTCTCTATTTTATTTTGTTTATTTTGTTGTTGTTGTTCGTGTAGTGCAAAAGTCAAATGTTTTAATTGCTTCATTAGGCACAGTCACCGCCGAAATGCTTTTTCCAAAGCCGAGACTAGACCAACACATGTTGTGCTCACTGCTGCTGCTGCTGCTGCTGGTGCATTAAACCCGCATCAATGTCAGACAACAGCAGCGGGCAAACCTAGCATTTAATAGTTTTTGCGGTAATTACCAACACAAATTGTCGAATCGACGCGGTTCAAAACCAGACGCGTTGTTTTGTGTTGCTTCTGACATTGACAATGAACCTAAAAGCCAAGAAGTGAGGCAGCACCAGCACTAACCAGGCCCCAAAAACCTGACAAACGGCCCGAAATAAATTATAGTTTCAGCTGCAAGCTTGAATTACGCACTTTTTCTGTGGGTCTTTTTTTTATTAACTCTTTTTATTTGTCCATTATTTTGGCTGAGTACTTTGCACTCTGGCGAACCAGCTCTAGCTCACAGATACGTTTTGTTTATTTCTAGCTGAGTAATCTCGTAACATTCGCAGCAATAGAGAGAGGCAGCATTGTTGTTTGAACTTTTTCTAGGGCGTAGTTTTTGATTTTTTGTATTTGCTTTTCTGTGGTCTCTCACCTTGAGGTGCGTTTTACATGTTTCAGGTGCAAATCTTTCAAGTTCTCTCAGCGAATACATTTGTTAAGATGAGTTGTTAGGGGTTTTTTATGTTAATTTAATGATTATTTGTATGTTTTAGAATTTAAATTTTTAAGAGAATTCCTTAAACACTTTAAATATATTTATTAAAAATATTTGGCATTATACTAGGTATTTTTAACTATTTTGAGAGATTTTAAATTTGGATGTAGGTATTGTTTGAGTTGATGTTTAATGTTATATATAAATTAAATTCCAGAAAGGAATGCTTACTAATTAAGCCCAAAAATGAATATCGGAATGAATAAATAAAATTCCGCTAATGTATAAATGAAATTCCAATATAGATTACCTAGAATGAATTCCTTTGCATTTCTTATTAGAATTCATAATTGGCGTTCATCTTTAGAGTTCATTTTTGGAATTTATTTGAAGAATGCTTATATCTTATATTTTGTGTGTTCATTTTTTAAATTAAATTTAACAATTTCGGTTTTCTAATCATTTAAGTTGTTCGTTAGTTAGATTAACTTAAGGTATTAATTTAATTTTAATTATTTATTCAATATTTGAGTTATCGTCTTCTATTTAAGGATTCATTTTTGGTGTTCATTTCAGGAATTCACTTTCGATATTGATTAAATAAAAACATATTTAAGTCGCCCTCCCCCTCTTAGAAAATCCTTGATCCGTCGATCAGCATTTGGAAATGATTTTAGTTTTAATAATGGCCCACATCTGGGCGACGCTCTCGTCCGAGATGATTCCCCTGACCCACGGAACACCCGGCGTCAACTTGGATCACTTTATTAAATTGAATTTCGTGTTTCGCTTTTTAACACGAGATGGCAAGCGAGGCAGCTAGAAACAACAACAATAATAATGATCTATATCACATTTTATACACACAACGAGGTGTGTGTTTGTATATTGTCTGTGTAGACAATTTTTTGTAGTGCTTTTGACTCGTTTCAATGTCATGTTACATTTATATATTTGTTGCTCTTGTTAATGCTGCTTTTTTTGTATTTTTTTATTTTTATTATTATTGTTTTTGTTGAACGAACAACAGGCACACGAGAATTCTGCGCTCGATTTTCATAGTTTTTGCTGCCTGTGTTGTGTTGTGTCTGTTTGTTCTTTTTGGCATTGAGGCTCTCTTTATTTTCCGAGAGGGGAGCAAAGCCAAAAAAGTAGATTAGATAGAGGCAGCATCGAGCACAACAGAGCGTCCTACGAAACCTGTAATTGCCACAGATACATTTACTTTATTTTCCGACTTTTTCTCATTTGTTTTGTGTGTCTAGTCTATTTTTGAAAATCTTGTTAACAAACTTTGAAGCACAAATAAATACTGATAAACGTTCTGAGGCAATGGGAAATGTTTATTTGAGGCTATTTAGGGTAGTATTTAGAGTTATCTAATAATTGCAACTTTTCTTGTTGTATTTTAAATTATTTTATACAAGTTTTTTGAGGGAAATCCCAAAATGTATTCAATTTGTAGCTTATTGTTATTAAAAGTGCTTATCCCACGACATCTAAAATCTATATACGTGGCTCTATAGCCGAATACAGAATGCAAGTCAATTATTTTCTATTCCCAATAATTACCATACCATTGTACTTTCGTACTTGATAATTATTCAAATGTTTAGTCATTGCTTGTGGCGTGTTTTTGTTATTTTTACGCTCTATCACCGTGTGGGGGATCTGGTGGCGAAGGACGGGGGTTACTCGGGTTACTCATCCATCCATCTATGTGTGTACACATATACATATATCCCAACAAGAGACGGCTGCCAGGAACAGAACCCGATCCAGAAACAGAAACAGAACTCTATAACCATAACCACTCTCTCTCGCACACAGTTGTTCGCCATTATTGTTATTATTGTTAGTATATATTTTTACTCGTTGTTTATTTTTGTTTTTGCTTGCGATAAGGTCCGGTTGGGGTGTATAATTTATTTCACTGACTTTGAATTTTATCTGAAAATTGCCTATTATATTTATAATGAAGCACATGGCTGACCATATTTTCCAGTGAATCATTTATGGGAAAAACTCTATATTAGACTAGAAAAGCTTTTTTTCTAAAAAAGTAGTAACACTTTATTTTTAGAAAATTATAAACTAATAAGAAAATTTATGGAATGATTAAATTACGGTTGTATTACTTTCAATTATACATTAAAAATAAATAATTGTTTCCAGGAAATAATTTTTCGGAGAATTTTATTCCACCTTATCTTTTAATATTTCCTGTGCATATATTTTTTTTCTTAATTAAATTCCTAGGAAATTAAATATCAAAATGCTCTCAGTTAAATAATCTCAGTAAAAAACCCAAAACACAATACATCTTTTAAACTCTTAAGATATTTTCTTAGTTTCTAGTTACTTTTATAAAAACTATTAATTTTATTATAGTTTTCTATTAAACAATGTTTTCTTTGAATGCCTTAACAGCGTTTTATAGCCCCTTTTCATATCGCATATCGCCAAGCGTGTATATATTCATATTTACAGTACGTTCAGGAACGCCAAGCCATACAAATATAGGCGGAATCGGGGGGAGCCGGGACTGTGGACTGGGGACTTGGGGACTGGGAATGGGGGTCATATTATTGGCGGTTCAGTCGAGTTGTGCAATTATTTTTCATATGGCCAAACATATTCCGTGCTGCTCCGTGTTATAGCTATTGTTTTGCATTTTTTTTTATGCCTGGCAATGCACATTTCATTGTTGTGTTTTTGTGCAGTGTCGTAATGCCAAAAAACAATAACAAAATGCCAAAAAAAAAAGGGGAAAAAAACGAAATAAATGCCATGCAATAGGAGGAGTATAGAGATATCACATACTACTAAGTAAGGGAACTGAACGAGCAACTGAGGAGGACGTCGTGTCTGTCGACGATGCGATAACTCAGCTTTTGTATGGGAAATTAGAAAATTCCCAAATAATTTCACACATGAGCTGAGCCCTCTTAGCCCTGCCCCTCCCGAGCTGGAGAAGATGTATCTCTGAGGGGAGTGATGTGGTGGTGTGAAGAGCGGCAACGCTGCTCGGGC